GTGCTCTGCTTTGGTGGCCCAGGGTTTTGCCGGTTCGAATCCTGGGCATGGACGTGGCACCGCTCATCAAGCCACGCTGAGGCAGCATTCCCCATGCCACAACTAGAAGGATCCATGTCAAAAATACACAACTGTGTACCCCGGGGCTTTGGGGAGAAAAAGGAAAAATAAAATCTTAAAAAAAAGAATACAGACTTCATTGAGAGCTGCCTTTTAAAAATTATAATCATCCTTATCAGTTTATTCAGTCCTGTGTAATTAGTTCTTGATCTTAATTTTCTGTCAGCAGTTTTATGAAGTCATTAGTTTTTCTGTTAGAGTTCTAAAATTTTTTATCCAGCTCAGTTTTATAATCTGAAAGTTTATCAGAAACCTGTACTCTAGAGTAGGGACCAGAGTCCTTTCCATGAATTTCTCTGAAGCTGAAACATATTTGCAAAAACATCAGAGTAAAACAACTATTTGTAAATAAGAAAATGTTCAAAAATGGTAATTGACAAACACACTTGACTGTTCTTGTGACATATAATACTTTGAGATAATAACCAGACTCATGGCTGACAATCAGAACAGATTAGAATTTTAGATAATTTTTTAAATACTTATATCAATAACACTCATTAACATAATACCATTTAAGAAAGTTTGATGGTCTTTTTTTTGAGCAAGATTAGCCCTGAGCTAACATATGCTGCCAATCCTCCTCTTTTTGCTGAGGAAGACTGGCCCTGAGCTAACATCCGTGCCTATCTTCCTCCACTTTATATGTGGGATGCCTGCCACAGCATGGCGTCCCAAACAGTGCCTTGTCTGCACCCGGGATCCGAACAGGCAAACCCTGGGCCACTGAAGTGGAACATGTGCACTTAACGGCTGCACCACCGGGCCAGCCCTGAGAAAGTTTATTATTACTTATTTGACAATGCTTCTCATATTTAGCATACCAAATAAGCCTAATTAGTTTAATATTTTTTTCTTAGAAGAAGAGAGCAAATCTCTCTGAGAAGTCTCAGTGGCCCTCTGAAAATCCCCAGGGAAACTCTTCCAGGTCAAAATAAAGCTTTTATTCAGGACTTGAATATTTGTGTGTCGGGGAGCTCGTGAAAAATATTTAAAGGCAAAGAAAATAATTTTTTAACCTTTTTATTAAGAACAGACTAAAAGTTTAAGAAGAGTATCTTTTTAAGAGAGAGGCGGCTAGATTTTACTTTTGCATCAGTTTACTCTTGATATTGAAACTTATTTACTTAATAAATTTATTTCAGTCTCAGCCAATTTGACCAGACATAAAACTCTTCAGGGCTTTTCTTTCAGAAACCTTTGGTTACCTATCTTTTACACTCAAAATTTGTCCCAGTACTTTAGGACAAATTATCTTTCTTAACTCAAGAAACAAAAATATTTCCATTCTTTATACCTGTTTTTTACTGAAAACATACATTTTACTTTTTTTGTACACAGACCTTTTAGAAATGTGAGTTTTCTCATAGAAAGTTCCTCAGAATACATAAAACATGTTTATCAATAAACCTAAGCACTTTTCAGTTTCTTTGACATAAGAAACCAAAGGCAGACAAATCTATGCTTAGTAGTTAACCTTTAATATTTTATCTTATGTGGAAGTGACCTAGATACCCAATAAACTGTTATTATTTAACTTAGTAAAGCTATAAAGTTTGTTTCCAAAAAGATTTTGGAAGCTGTTTTTTTAAGTATGCAGACTATAAAACATAATTATTGTACTTAAAAACTCTTACCCAGTTTTAACAATTATGTTTAAATTATTCTTAAAGACTTCATTGACATTAAAGCAGTTAACTGTCATTTTAAATTGTTTTAAATACATACACCATAATACATAGAATTATTTTTAAAAAGTTTTTCCAAAAACTTTTATCCTTTTACATTTATTTAGTTTACCTGTCTTTAGCAATTATATTTAGATCATCTACAAAAATCTCATGAAACATCAAACAAAATTAGCTATTATACTGAGTTATTAGTTTTGCTGATAAATTTTGTAACAGAGATAGCATGAGCTCCTTTGACCAGTAAACCCAGGCTGTACGTCTCCATCATATCCAGTGCTGATAACTCTGAGGACATGTCTATTTTAAAACCAGCAAACTTAAACAGGATCTCATGTACCAAAGATCAATTTATATCATGTTAAATAACTGTCTTTGAGAAGTTTTGACATATTAATCAAAGACTGCATTTTATTATGAGAGATTTTGAATCCTCTCTTTTCTGAAACAGAGGTTTCCCAGAACGGCCATTGCAATTTTAAGGTATCTCAAAAGTTTACTTATTTTTATTTGCTTAATTTTAGATCAGGAATTTTGGAGGAGGTGAAGTGAAGCTCAGCAAGAGAGGAGAGAGAAGCAGCAGATTTGGCTTCAGCTGCTGGCATGTTTAATTATTATTACTATTTTTTTAAGAGGCAGTAAAGTATTCCTGATTTTATTTAGAAGGCTCAAAAGATTAAAGTAGGCTTCCCGTTGTTGTAGCTGGCTTTTTCCAATTGTATGTGTAAATACACCAGTTTAGGTAAACTGAAACTGCCCCATTTAAGTATATCAATTTTTACAAAACTTTTATCTTAATTTTTCTACTCTTATACCCCTAATTATAACTTACATTAGAATTCTATTAACAAGTGTTGGTGTTACAATACTGTGTAGGGGAAGCATTCCCAGTTAGACATAACGTCTATTCCAAAAAAATCATCCAGGGAAAGTTGACATAACCTCTTCATATAATATTAGCTTAAACACTTTAATTTTTATAGTCTTGTTAACCTGAGCAGCCTAACTGTTGCCCCAAACAATTGTTGGTCAGGTTTTTTTTTTGTGATTTCTGCTTTCTGACCTTTTAAAATTTTTCAAACTGGGGTGAATAGAACAGGTTTGTCTGATGTCCTTTAATGTTGGGGGGCTAATAAGGGGGTCCCTTTAGCCCATCCAACCTTAGGCAGTGTTTTATTAAAACCTTTGTTTTATTTTCTTTATATTTGTTCTATTTATCCCATTTTTCTTTCTAATAACTAGCTAAAGATTTTCATCCTGTTGAGATGAGTCCCATGGCTATTCCTTTTCTAATTTCTCTTTGTTAACTTAATGTTTTCATTAGCATCTGTAAGACCATGAGAAGAAGCTGAGACCCCCAAGTTTGATTAAGTTCTTAAGACTAGTTATTGTATTTTCCTTTTAATTTAGTTTTTTTTTATAGATACCAATAAAACAGCTGTTTATCATGAGAGCTCTCTAAAAAGTTTCCCAACTTAAGGATCTGTTGTTTAGCCCTTTTTTCCTCCCGAGACTAAAGAATATTGTGGCCACGTGGTGTTACAAAAGAAAATCATCCCCATTTAGACATTGGCTTATAACTGTAGGTCAACCAGTCAGTCAAAGTTTGTTCCAAGGGCCTCTCAGGTGGAATAGATGTGGCACCTCCCATGTTAATACTTTTAAAAGGAAAGACAGACAAACAGCAACAAATACCAAACAAGTACACTTTCCCCAAAACCCTCAGGCACAAATGGAAGCCAAAACGAAGACCAAAACCAAAACCAAAACCCAAAGTGCTTCCAGTCCCAGCTTAGTCCGTGTCCTACCCTCAGGGGGCGCCCAACAAATGAAGATCCCCCATGCAGATCTTCCCAAATGGGCGAGGACAAGGGACCTTGGGGTGCACACTGGGGGGCTTGCCAAAATCTGGCCAGGGCGTTGTGACTTCAAAACACGTGGAGCCCAGAGGACTGCTACGTACCCATTATTTTCAGCTGGTCCTGTTGGAAAAGGTTAACACAAAGACAAAACCAAAAACTGCCAGCTACTTACAAGAGACATCTTCCTAAGTCCTGAGCCTAGTTTCCTCCACCACCAAAGCAAAAGTGCTGTGGGCCAATGACGTCTGGTTGGCAGCCAGTCACTTGGGGCTGTCCCTGAGACAAGGGGCTCGGGGCTGCAGGACAGCTTCCAAGAGAGGCCTTTAGCCAGAGGCCAGTATGCCACAGGCGAGACGTCCACTTGGGACATTGTCCCATCTGGATGGCCAAATTGATATGGAACCTGAAATGAGTTCACTCACTTGTTGTGCAGCAAGCCAATCTCTGACACTGGACGTAGTGGAAGAAAGTAGGAATTTTATTTTTGCACAGCGATGAGCAAGGAGAAAGGGCAGCTAACGCTGAAATCCCAAACTCCCTGAAAAGCTTAAAGGAAGGGTTTTTATTTGGGGTTTTAGGTAGGGGAGAGGGAGCATATGGCCTTGCTGGTCAGAGCTTTTCCACCAGCCTGTTTGGCCTTGAGACTACTTGCAGAGAGGAGGAGGAGGAGACAACGAATCCAGGTGGTTATCCTTGGCCATTTGTCTCCATGGTGGATAGTGGATTCTGGAGCCAGGGAGTAAGCAGGGAAAGAGTGCTTTGGTTTTAACCCCGCATATGCTGGGTTTAATGTGGGGGAACCGATATCAGGTCTGGTATCACTTCCCTCCTCCTTTCTGGACATGATTGCCAATTGGCCTGGTTGCCAGGTGCAGAGTGGCATGTTCACTCACAGTGGCCTGTATAAGAGATATTGGAGATGTTTGTCCCTGGACAGGCTTCCTTGGGGGGAGGGAGAACAGTAGGATGGTGACAGGGGAAGAGGTGGGGCTGGAGCGGGGTGTTACTGCCCTTTCCTCTGCCTTGCTGCCTAGCAGGCAGCTATGTCCCTACAGAGGTCCTGAGCCCTGGGGCTGAGTGTTGGGGGTTTTGAGGGCAGGTCCTTCCCTCCAGGCCTGTTTCCCAGTCTGTCAATGAGAGGGAGAATCCCAGCTCCCCCTGGACGTGGAGCCTACATGGATGGAAAAGTTGGAAGTGCTGTACTGATGTCAGAGATGGGGGAGGGGCATTTGACAGGAGGAGGACTGTGTCCCCAGGTGGACTCTCCTTGCTCCTCTCCCCCAGCCTGGGAGCAGAGGCCCACGTTTCCTCCCTGTCCCTGGCCCTGCAGGAGCTGTCCAGGCGGAGGCAGTTCCTGAGGGAGCATGTGGCCCCCTTCTCCGCCTTCCTCACCGACAGCTTCGGCCGGCGACACAGCTACCTGCGGATCTCCCTCACCGAGAAGTGCAACCTGCGATGTGAGTTGGCTTCCTGGGCCCTGTCTGGGCTCCTGTCCTTGTCCCTCTGCTGAAGCGGCATCTGAAATCTCCCCACACCCAGGCATTCTTCGTAACCCTCCCAATTCCTCTTTCTCGAAAGTCTCCACCCGCCCTTCTTCCTTGCTTGCCAGACGGGGTTCAGGGGCAAGACAGGGTAAAGGTTGAGCTTTCTGGTCCTGAAAGCTGGGTTCCACTTGGAATTGGATTTAAAAACAGAACTGCTGTTGGATTTGGGATTAAGATTAGCCCTGGATCCCTCACTCTTCAGGGCTCTCTCTCCCTCCTGTTTCCCTGCAGTTCCCACAGTTCAGGACGTGGCCCGGGTGGGCGTGGGGTGCTGGACACTCTCAACATGTGAGGTACACAGCAGTGCCGTGGCCAGCACCCCAGACTCATGACAGAAGTTGTCTGGGGCCAGGCTGACAGAATGCTCGTTTCGTAATCCCATGTGGAGGGCTGTGGGGCGTATCCACTGCTGGGGGACTTCCAAAATTTATTTGCTCCTACCCCCTCCTTCCTTCCTCCCTTCCTTCCTTCTGCTGTAGCTCACAATAAGAAATATATTTACTTTGAGGCCCACTAAATACATGTGTTTGTGTATAGTAAATGTTTAACAAACAATACTTACTGCCTGCAGTACTATGATGTTCTGATATTTTGACCTACTCTGGTCTGTCTTAAAAGACCAATTCTGGACCATTCACTAATTTGACTAAGTGGCCCTCTAACAGATCTTGGCCCACTCCTTTGTGACGTTGTACCACAGGAAGTGATGGTAGGGGCTGGTGCCCCCTCCGCTGCCAGGGCTCGTCTCATTTACCCCGTTCTGCCACCTCACCCAGAGCAAGTAGTCCCTCAGTTTTTGCTAACCTGAAATAGACAGGCTGGATATGAGAACACTTGTAGCTACAGAGGAGGGCAGCTTTACCAGGCCAAAGAGTACTTCCCAGCCTCGTTCGCCTCATGACACACACGCAGAGGGGTAACTGTTGGCCAAAACCAGGTGAAATAAAGGAGGATCAGCGATGCCAGAAGGAATGGGCCCGTTTAGCCAGCCCTCGCTCTGAGGGAGTCAGCGACCTAGCATGCCCCTACCTCAAGCCGGGCTCTGCTTTCAGCCTAGTTCGTCATCTTTAACCCATGCCCTCAGCTTCCCCACAGAGGCATATTAAGGCCAGATGGGGAGAGGCTGTTAACATTTTGTAGATGAGAAAGGTGAGGCCCAGGGAGAATCTGGCTCAGGGTTTGTTCCACCTCAGATTTGGCGAGGTCTCTCTCCACTGTCCAAACGGGGTTCAGGAGAAACTTCTAGCCTGGGGGGGAGTGTTGGGGACTGGAAACATCACAGGCCTGACTGCTGTAGTCATTTCCTGCCTTCACATCCTCTCCCTTCCGGTCAGGTCAGTACTGCATGCCCGAGGAAGGTGTCCCACTGACCCCCAAGGCTAAGCTGCTGACCACAGAGGAGATTCTGACCCTTGCACGGCTCTTTGTGAAGGAAGGCGTAGACAAGATCCGGCTCACCGGTGGAGAGCCACTCATCCGGCCGGACGTGGTGGACATTGTGGGTGAGTTTGACGGAAGTTGTCACCACTTCTCCCAGCTCCTGCCTCATCCCGCTGGACTCCAGTATTAACATCACAGCTAACATTCATCTAGAGCCTTATGCTCACTCAGTCCTACCACCTCCTGAGACAGGTGCCATTATTATTCCTGTTTTGTTAAGAAATGAGGCACAGAGAAGTTCAATAACTTGCCCAAGGTCACAAAGCCAGTAAGTGCCAGAGCCCAGTGGCTTGGCATCACATTTAGACCAAAGTCCTCACCAGGGCCTGGAGGTCCACGTGGTCTGGCTCCTCCTGACCTCCTCAACCTCCCGCCTGTCCCCCTGCCTCCCATCCTCCCCCCCTCCCTCCCCACTCTCCAATCACACTGCCTACCGGGCCCTTCACTGGGAGCACGGGGCCCACTGCCTGCCTCGTTCAGGTCTCTGCTCCATGTCTTCTCCTTGGGGAGGCCTCCTTGACCACTCCATTTAAGGTACGTCCCCACATACACACTCCAGCCACTCTCTGTCCCAGGATTTGGCAGCCTACAGCCCACAGGCCTAGTCTGGGCCATCACCTGTTTTTGTGTGGCCTGCAAGCTAAGCATAGGTTTATATTTCTAAACAGTTGGAAAAAAATGGGAAGAATAACATTTTGTGACACATGAAAATTAAATGAAATCCTAAATTCGCTGTCCATTAATAAAGTTTTATTGGCACATAGCCACACCCACTCATTTACATATTGCCCTTGGCTGCTTTTGCAGAGTTGAATAGTTGCAACAAAGACCGTATGGTCACCAGCAAAACCAAAAATATTTACCGTCTGGGCTTTTGCAGAAAAAGTGTGGCGACTCCTACTCTATTCCCTTTTCCTACCATGTTTTTCTTCATAGCCTTTGTCTCATCCTGACGTCATGTTGTTTGGTCGTGTTGATTTTTGCTTTGTATTGTCTGTCTCCTCCATTAACTAGTGTGAAAGCTAACAGGGAGCCGGCCAGGTTTTGTTCACAGCTGTGTTCCCAGTACCTGGGAACATGCCTAACACATAGTTGTTGCTCACTGATATTTGTGGGATGAATGAAGAGTGGTCCAAAGTACCATCTCTGAAGTATGACACCTGCCTGTGAGTCTCAGCTGGGCCACTTACTAGTAGCATACTTTTGGGCAACTTTTAAATCCATCCTAAGCCTCCAGGCAGACAGAGTACTTACTTTATAGGGTTGACCTGGCGAGGTGATGAAAAGGGAATACCCAGCACGTGGCAAGTGCTCCATGAGGGGCGGCCCCTCGAGCCTCTTGTCATGTACTGATTCTAAGCCCCAAGGTCAGGCAGAGAGAGACCTTTGCTTATGTAATTATAAATGATGAAATCAGAGGAAAATAAGACTCCATGTTCTGGATTGCTTAGCCCCAGCCCCATCCCTGCTGCTCTGGGTGGGATCTCCCAACCCTTACTTAGCTCTTGGCCTCATTTGCTGGTTCAGTGAATGTTCTCTGGAGTGCCACGTTATGTGCCTGCACTGTGCTGGGGACGTGAAGGTGACTGAGCTGCAAGCCCTGTGGTCAAGGACCCACAGCCTATTGGCAGAAGCAGCCACTGGAGCTAGCCATCTAAGGAGCCAGGTGCTGTGGGAGCCGTAAGGAGGGGCTCAGGGACCCCTGACAGGCCTCTCCTTCCTCCTTCCCCCTGGCCAGCTCTCTCCAGCCCCGACTAGTCACTTGACCTGGGATCCTGCCATCATTCCTGGGCTGGACAGGCTGGCCCAGGGGAGCTGACAGGCAGGCTAGATTCCAGGAAGGGGCTGAACCTGCTGAACTCAGCTGGCCGCCAGGCCCAGCCCCCTTGTTCAGGCCACTTCCTCTGCCCCCTGGCACGCGTTCCACCTTAAATCTCTATGCTCCTTGCCAGCGCCTGTGGGAGAGCAGAAGGGGTGGGGATCACTGCCGGTCAGAGAGGGATGACTGAGCACAGACCTGAGGACACAGAGCTCTCCACCAAAGCCGCCAACATGCGTAACGGGAAGAATGTGAGCCAGGAGTGTTGGCAGCCCTGTTCCTACTCTGCCACTGCCTGGCCTTGTGAACTTGTGCAGGTGCCTTCCCCACCCTGGGCCTCAGTTTCCTCATCTGTACGTCAGCCACTTCAGGGGCCTTTCGTGCTGTGATGGTCCATGGTGATTGGTCCTGGCTGACAGCATGGGGTGGGCAAAGGTTGGTCAGTATACAGATGCTAGCTAAGACAAGGCCCTGGCTGCAGTAACCTGCTTCAGAGGATTTACCTCCTGCCTCCAAGGATGTGGGTAACAGACTGCCCTCTCCCTCTCCCCCCGTCCTAAGTGCTCCCAAACAAATGGCGTCTGCACTGCCTTGAATTCCTGTGGTGCTGTGCTTGCTAACGCTGATGTCTCAGGCTAGCTCTGTTGATTTCCCCAGAGGTATTTCTTAGAGCAAAACCACCCTGAAGGGCAGGGCAGGGGGTGCTAGTGGGGAAGAGAGGAGGGAACAGCAGTCAGAGCTGGGATACTCACAAACACTTGTCCCCACCCTCCCAGGTGAGAGTTTCGAGGGACCCCACCCACGGGCAGAGTGAAAGGGTTGCAGGTTTCTCTGAGCCTGCTGTCCTGATCGCTTTGGCCCCTGCCTGAAGCCTGTCAGCCTTGGGCCTGGTGCTGCAGACCCCCGTGGGAGGGATTCAGCCATCAGCTCTCTGTCTGCACTCACCTGTGATCCCCTCTGCCAACCCTTGGGCTCTCCAGCACTCCTCCAACCCGGCCCCTGTGTGCACAAGTTCCTCTGCCCCTCCTTTTCAGCTGAGATGAGGTTAGGGCAGCGCTGTCGGAGAGAACTTCCCCAGATGGTGGAAGTGTTCTCTATCTGTGTTGTCTGATACAGTAGCCATGTGTAGCCTTGAGCATTTCTTGACATGCGGCTAGTGTGACCCAGGAACTGAATTTGTAACTTTATTACATTTTAATTAATTTAAATAGCCACACACGGCTAGCAGCTGCCATGTTAGGTAGTGAAAGTTTGAGATTTTTCCATAAGAAATATGAATAAAAGGGAACTAAACTCACAAGCCATAGGATAGCGTTGGAGTAGTTTGCAGAGCGCTTGTTTTGGATCCTGACTTCAAGAGTGACCTGCCGCCGTCAGGCAGGCTCCCTGAGCGTCAGAATCACGCAGTCCTGTGGCCTTTTCCTTTGTTGTTGTCCCCGTTCCTCTCTTCCTTCCCTTATGTTGAAGAAATAGGGAGCATCTAGATCTCACAGCTTAAAGCCCATGAGAGGCTTGATGCAATGGGGAGCCATTGAGTATTTTTGAAAAGGGCTGAAGTTTTCTGTTTTATTTTTGGTGGACTCTAGTTACCTAGAATTAGATTAAGTCGTAATCCTCGGTTCATGAGATTGTCTCATCATTGGTCTATGCATGGCCCGTTTTACTTTATTCATACCAATTCATTTATATGTTTTAATAATATGATTTCCTAAGGCAACCCTCTACCTCATCGATTTTGTTTTTGGAAGAATAAGAACACGGGCAATAACTTTTAACCACCTCTGTGGACTTCCCTCCCTGTGTGGACTTCCCTCTCTGTGTACCTCTGCCTCTGAGGGAAACCCTCCTAAATTTTGCATTTATCACTCCCTTGCTTTTTAAAGCTGAGATAGCATGTTTGTGCACTTTATAAGAGTCGTGCTGTGTGTATTCATTCAGGGCTCACTCATTTGATGCAAGTGAAGTTCATACATGTCATCTTGAGTCATAATTCATTCTTTTTCTCTGCAATCTACTGTGCCATTATATGAATATACCACACTTTCTTCTATTAGTGAGCATTTGGGTTGTTTTTAGTGTTTTGATAATCAGAAAGAGTGCTGCTTTAAACATGTGTATCCTCGTTCACGTATCCTGGAGTACAGTTTCTCTGGGAGTGGAATTGCTGAGTTGTAGGACATGTGAATGTTTAACTTGGGAAAACAAGTTAGCGTTATCTTTCTGTGGTTGTGCCGATTTACACCCTCACCGGCTGCACATAAGAGAGCCTTTGAACCACATCCTCCCCAACGCTCAGCAATCTCATTCTGGATTTCTGCCAGTGGGACGGGTGTAAAACGGTGTTTTATTGTGGCCTTGATTTGAGATCAGGCATCTTGTCATAGGTTTATTAACCATATATATTTCTTTTTCTGTGTAGTACTGGATTGTGTCGTTTGCCCGTTTTTCTATTTGGTTATTTGTCCTTTCATATTGGTTTGGTAAAAGTTCTTTATGTATGTTGCAAATGTCTTCTGCCAGTTTGAAAACACAAGCCACACGTTGCGTAACAATTCTTTTGACCGATAGTAGTTCTTAAATTTGTCAATTTTGTCTTTTTATGGTTAGTGCTTTTTATAGCTTGTTAATGAAACGTCTCACCCAAGGGCAGAACAACTACCTATGTTTCTACTAAAAAAAATTAAAGTTTTGCTTTTTGCATTTAAGTCCTAGTTAATCTGTGGGTGATTTTTGGGAATCCCATTTCATTTTTTCTATATGGAAAATCATTTTTTCTAGTTCATTTTATTGAATAGTCCCGACTTGCTCCACAAACCTAGCACGTGTGCATTAGTCTGTTTTGGGTTCCGTTCTGTTTTGCTGGTCAGTTTGTTGATCTTTATGCCAATATCATACAGTCTTACCCACTGTCTCTTCATAGTAAGTCCCTTATCTGGTAGGGCAAATCCTTTTTTCCTGTGCCTTTGGTGTCATATCCAAGAAATCACTGCTAAATGCAATGTTGTGAAGTTTTTGTCCTATAATTTCTTCCAAGGCTTTAATTGTTTTAGGACTTACGTTTAGGTCCTTGATCCATTTTGCGTTAATTTTTGTGTATGATGTTACGTAAGGGTCCAACCTCACTCTTTCGCATGTGGATGTCCAGTTTCCCCAGCACCATTTGTTGAAAAGACCATCCTTTCCTGCATCGAATGGTCTTGGCACCCTTGTCAAAAGGCATTTGACCAAATACATGAAGGTTTA